ACGATTATTTTTCTATTCTTCAATAAAGACTATTTGCTTTATTGCGCATTCATAGAGCCGCATTTCGGTTCTCATCAAACTTTATCCGATTGAATTGAAAATTGTTTTAAAGATACCTAAGAGTATATCTCAGAGTTAATTTCTAAAAAATCTCACTTTCATTTTTTTATACGTAAATATTCGATGCATTCTGAAGAATATTTCCAAGTATCAGTGATAGAAATTTCAGTCTGATTGGTTTTAACGCCTTCGAGAAAGACTCAAAAAAGATTATATAGCAATGAGCTGACCTCCCGCTGAAGGTCCGTGAAAAAAAGAGGAAAAGTAGGAGACTCTTATTTCAATTCTCAAAATCATAAAAAACCCTTAAAGTAAAGGGAAAAACTCCAATATCACAAAACTAATCTCAATTTGGTAGTAGCTTTAAATATAACGGGTGTTGCCAGTCTGTAAACAAAGATATGTGCCTGTTAGCTAAAATGAGTTCTACGCTATATGATTGCTCAAAGATCACCTAGAGAAAAAAAATTCAGCTTAAGCAAATCTTTCTTTATCGAGATTCAGTTTCTTAAAATTACGTCGGCATAAATTGTAAAACTTTCTGTAATAGTAAGTCTTCTAGTTTCGGATATCTAATTAACTTAGGAGAAAGAGTTTAGTATGGTTTTTCTAATATTCTTGTAGCTCATGAAAAACTCGATCTAGCTTTCATTGCTTGTGAAAATTAGTTTTTCATGCCAATAATAAATGATAACAATCAAGTTTTTCAATGGTTTGCATGTCACAAAAATTTACGTGTAAAAAGGAGTTCAAAATGTTACATCTAAGACAAGATATTAAACTTTTTTTTTCGAAGAAATCAATAGCAAAATTGCAGAAATTTACAATACATTTTTTTAGCAGTTTTAGAAAAATCGAACTGTTTTGTCTACTAATGTATGAATAGAAGTTTTACGAAACATGTCCTTTCAGAGAAAAAAGAGTTAGCTTCCTCTCATTCTTCTGTTCACATGCAACAGTCTAACATTTTTTTTCCAGGAACTTTTGCAATACCTGTTATGTTACGCTATATTGATGTCAAACAATCTATCAAAGTTATTATTATCTCTATTATTCGCATTGGATGTTGTAAAAGTCGATTAAAGTTTCAATCGATTACTTTTCATTATCTATCTTGTTGCAGCTTAGTTCCATTGTAGTTGCATATAGTATTTTTATAGGTGTAGCGTTTTCTCGATGTGAAAAAGAAAAAAAAACATCCGTGTTCACTATCATACATGAACCTACTATTGCTAAAAAAATTTATCTATGCTAAGTTTTTCTCTGTACTCTTTACTTTTTGATTAAAAAGAGGTGGAGTGAGTGGTCAGAGCGATGAGTGAACACATTTGTTTTAGATGTTTCTGATTGTTTTGTTTTTTTTGAAGTATAATTATCGAGAAATTTAATTATATGATAATAATCATTCACATCTTTACGGAATGTTTGACATGCTCAAAAGAAAAACGAAGAGTAAGACTTTCATGAGGTCTTTTTTTTTAAATTCATAAATATAATATCATTCTTTTGTTGATTGAAGATTCAATAAGAAATTAAAGGAGGAAAAAACCATGAATCTTTATTTCTTGTTTGTTTTGTATTCGATAATATAATGTTACATTGCTTTTATCAAATATAAATTGGATTAGTTTACATAGCCGTAATGGGAGATTTTGAAAAGAAAGAATTGCTTAAATAAAAGTTAAATGATAACACTACTTAATAAGGATTATCTTACGAGATAATCTATCCGACTGGTAATTTCCGTTTGAAATTACATTTTTGCTCATAGTGTAGATAAAAATCTTAAAAGAATTCGTGCCATTAAGTCTTTCTTCTCGAATTATAGTCATTTTACTGAAATTCTCTCTCAACAATAGTTCTCATTGTGACGGTTTCTGATGGAAGAAGAGTTAGTGCTGATGGAACTACGCTTTATTATATTTCTTCTTCTCAAGAATTACATCGTTTCCAAACAAAGTATACACTTATATACTCGCCTATCAGACAGAAGGAAGGAAGAAAAGGATAAAGTGTAGCATGACGTACGAAGTAATAACAGAAAGATAAGGACAATACATAAGATGAAAAGAAATAATAAGAGCAGGTCAAACATCATGCATAATACGCACTTAATCGGGAGCGTTACACTCATGGCTCCTGTAGTGTTCTGAAAGTTTCAGCTTAAATGGATGACTTTTTGTTAGGATCTCGTATGTCTAAAAACCTGGATTACTTTTTTGGAATTCTTGTGTGAAAGTAAGATTTTTTGCAAATGTATTATCTCAAAAGGGAAGCATCTATTTGAGCTGAACCTTTCAGAATATCATAGTGCAATTCCTGCATGATCAAAGTATGAAATACAATGTATCTGCTGTTGCTGATTGCTAGAAGATTGTTTTATTCTATCTATTTTGGTACACATTTCTTTACTGTCCTTTTCCAAAAATGCAGTAAGAAAGTAGTTTATGAGACATTATCTTTGATTGTATGAGTTCTACCTGGAAGAACCTTTAAAAAGAAAGTGGTGCTTTTCCCATAGGCTATACCCTCCCCCCCTCCCGTAAGATTTCTTTTCGTTTCAATATTTTTTGGTTATGGGTAGTATGAAGATGTACAATCATTCAACGAGACCTTGGACATTTTTAGTCTTAGCAAAAAAAAACAATATTTTAGAGAACGGTCATTAATATAGGAAAGTACTAGAAAATAGGTAGTATTTAGAGGTTTCTGTAGTCAAAAGTTAGTTTTTATGTAAAATGCGTATGATATTCAGAATCAGCATAAAAAATTACACTAGACAGTCTATTTTGCATTGTAAAATATTTTCCATGAAAATTTGACCCGTAGGAGACCAGGAGAGAAAATCTCATGGATAAAAGGTTGAGGGGGAGTAGGGGTCAGATTTCCATGAAAAATATTTTACAATGGAAAATAGACTGTCTAGTGTAATTTTTTATGCTGATTCTGAATATCATACTCTTTTTACATAAAAACCAACTTTCGACTACAGAAACCTCCAAATACTACCTATTTTCCAGTACTTTCCTATATAAATGACCGTTCTGTAAAATACTGATTTTTTTTGCTAAGACTAAAAATGTCCAAGATCTGGTTGGATGATTTTACATCTTCGTACTGCCCACAACCAAAAAATATTTGTGCGGAAAAAAAAACTTGTGGGAAGATATAAGCGCCATGTCCATAAAGTTATCAGCATATTCGAGTATTTTTAAAAAATATTCGATTCAGGAGTTGTCCTGGTCAAATAAATAACTGTCCTGAATGCAGAATTGAATTTCGGTTCGAATGGCCGTCTCAGATATCCAATAAAAAATCATATAGTGCCACAAAAAAAATTAAAATTACTTTTTATGCCCGAACAATAGAGCTAAAACGCGGATTTCAGCATAATATTCAAAATACTACTTGTCCCACTAAAACAAATGACTGTCCTTGAT